CTGAAGGAGCAGGCCCAGGGCAGACACTGCCGAGCCCCAGGTGAAGGAATGACCGTGTGAGTTAGTGAGTGAGTGGAGCCCATTTGGGGAGAGGCGGGAGGACACTGCGGAAGGTCAGCCCAGGTTGTGCATGGAGACAGTGGAGCCTGCCGGTGAGCGGACCCACAGACCGGAAGGACAGGGGCCGGGCTCAGATGCAGTCCCGGGCCTCCGGTGAAGGTCAGGTTAAAGCCCAGAGGTGCAGGGACGCTCCAGGACTGAGCCGGAGAGGAGCGGGGACCAAGCCCTGGAAAGGGCCGTGGTCAGGGCTTCTTGTCCCGCTCCCCGGACACACCTGTTCCAGGCAGGCCCCGCCCCAGGCGCCCGCGGCGAGTCCACAGGCCGAGGGGCTCCGGGAGGAAGCCAGCGTGCGGCCAGGAGGGCCCGGGCCTCCGTGGGGGTAGAACCCACAGGGCGGGAGGGGGAGGGTGACGGGATGGGGACGCGAGGGGGGCGCTGAGCCTGGCACTGGGAAAGCGCTGAGTCACGTTCAAGGCGAACGGGCCCCGGGGAGCCAGACCTTCCCGGCTGGGGCTGCGGGCTGTGAGAATGCGCCCAGGGTGGGGGGCGCGGGTGGGGGGAGTCCGCCCGGGGGTGGGGGTCCACAGGGCGCGTGGTCGCGGGCCGCCGGGGCGCGCGGGGCGGCGGGGGCGCGCGGGGCAGGCGGCGGGGGCAGGTGGCCCCGAACCTCCGCGGAGCTGTCGGGCGCCGGCGTCCTCCGTTGCCTGGAGCCGCGGGGCGAAATGCCGCGGGTGCCAGCGGCGGACATTACCTCGGCCGCTGGCTCGGACCCCGCTTCCCGGCCGGTGGGGCGTGGGGCAGCGGAAAGAGAGGCCGGGGCGCTGGCCCAGCCACACGCCTCCTCGCGCCCCGAGTTTTCTCGCTTATCGGCTTCTCCCGCCTCCACGTCCCTCTCCGCTCCAGGCCCGCTGCCCCCTTATCCACCTGCGCTCCGTCCGCTCCCTCTCCCCTGCACCCCCTCCCGGGACAGCCAGCTCGCGGGGCGCGGCGGACGCGCACAGGCGGTGTCGGGCGCCCCCTCGTGGCCGCCTCAGGCCCTCCCCGCTCGGACTGGGGTTCAGCTCCTCGGTTAGCGGGGGAGCGCGCCCCGCTGCGGCACAGACGCGTCCTCAAAACCCTCCCAGAGGCTTCTGGAAAGCAGGAGGGGCGTCCTGGAGCCTGAATGTGCCCCAGGGAGAGCCGGGGGAGGGCAGGAGTCAGCCGCCACGTGGGACATACTCCCACCCGCTCCCGGGGCCTGCCCTGCCCACGGTGACAGGTGCGGGGGGGACTGGGGTGCACAGAGGGAACAGCGGCTGTGCCCGCTCCCTGCGAGCATGTTGCGGTGATGTTCAGGCCCTGGAAGCTCACAGCTGCCTCCAAAGGCGCATGAACCTCCTTCCTCTCGACTCCCCACTCTGGGAACACCCCCTCCCACCTCCCCCCAGGTCGTCTCATCCCTGCCGTCCTCCCTCCTCGCCCCTGCTCCTCCCTTGGCCTCCTGGGTGTAGTCATCACTTAGTTGTTTGTTTACTTGCTCATCACAGCTGTGTGGCTCACCCGCCCCAGGTGCTGGGCAGCCCAGGCCTTCCTGTCCCCCTCCTGACACCGCCTGCCCCGCAGCCTAGCTTTCCTCTCACTGTTGTCACTCGGCCTTTGATCTGCCCTCAGCGGGGTCCAGCCCCGGCCTGTGCGCCCTTCCTCTGGGCTGTGGGCCACTTCACAAGCTCCGCCAGGAGGCCCTGGTCCAGCCTGCCAGCCCTCCCTCTCCCGGGTCACACTTGGCCTCCATTCCTCAAGTGGGCATGTCCCCTGGGGACACCCCCAGCCTCTTTGAGGACCTGAGTTCAAGCCAGTTTACTCAGGGGGGATTCAATTTGCAGTTGGGAAAATGCTTTTAAAGCTCACCTGGAGGGGGGGGGGGGGGAGGTGTACTATGAAGTGAACATGCAGGCTCCAGGAAAGGATATATTTTGTTGTTGTTAATCCTCACCCTACGATATTTTTTTCTATTGCTTTTTTAAGAGAGAGTGGAAGGGAGAGCAGGGAAGGGAGGGTAAGGAAGAGAGAGAGAGAGAGAGAGCGCGCACGTTATT